TGGCCGGCTAGTCTGTGTGGTGCACTCCCTATGCCCCAAGTGATAGGCCATAGTGGGATGCCAGGTTTGTGTGTCTTAGGAAGGCCATACAGGCGTGCTGGTTTCGGTTGACCTGGTAAAAGTTGAAGTAGTTTTTTGCCTTGTTCTGATTTTCGTAAGATGCTACAAGCCTTTTGAAGGAAAGTCTGGGTACTTTGAAGTAGCACTGATTCCGATACAGGCTGGTATGTGTTGGCATCGTTGATTTATTACCAAGGTTTATACCATGTGTACCTGTACCTGAATAAACTTACTAGGAGTAGCTATGCTAGACGAGGGAGTAGCTAAGTGTCTCACAGCGTTGAAGACTCAATAAGTACAGTAGAACCTCAAATATCGAACTTAATCCGTTCCAGGAGCTAGTTCTAAATTCGAAAAATCTGAAAATTGAAGCAACATTTTCCATAAGAAATAATGGAAATACAATTAATCTGTTCCAGAAACCCAAAATTATTCACAAAAAAATATATTTTATGGAGATTAATTACAGTTTTACATACACAACAAATACTATAGTGTTCAATTATGTATATAAATATAAAATAACATTTTACTTACCTTTATTGAAGATTGGTAATGGCATCTGGAAGATAGGGAGGAGGAGAGAGGTGATGGCATCTGGAAGATAGGGAGGAGGAGAGAGGGAGTTGGGGTTAGAGTTTGGAAGGGGTATCCCCCTCCATGAGGACTTCAGGTAAAGCCCTCTCTGGGGTTACTTCCCTTCTCTGTCTTTACATGTCACTAGGACCAGCTTGAGTCACTGGACACCTGTCTCACAAAATAACTGTCCACAGTCCTCTGTTTTTGGTGCCTCTTTAACATTTCCCTAAAATGGGACATGGTTCTGTCACTGAACTGGTTCCAGGAGTTTTCTGTACTAAATTGGCATGCAACCTTTGCAATTTTTCTTTAGAATCTCCCATAAGCACAGTATCATCAGCAAAAAGTATCTGTGTCAATTCCCATTTTGAACTTGATTCCCCAAAATTTAATCCCACCCCTCTCCCGAACACCCTAGCATTTACTTCCTTTACAACCCCATCTATAAATATTTTTGCAAATAATCATCTCTGAAACACTATCACTTGCCATCTCTTTATCCTTGATCCACACCAGCAACAACTTCTCAACCTCTTCAACTATTTGTGGTCTTTTTTTGGTTAGCATATTAACACCTTTCGCAACATGAGCTTCCTTGATTTGTTCTTTCTTTGCCAGGATAGAACTGATGGTCGACTTGTTTTACCCATACATCCTAGCAAGCTCAGCAAATCTCACACCACTCTCATACTTCTGTATTATTTCCTTCTTCACATTTGTGGTGTTTCTCACTTTCTTTACTACAGGGGTACCACTAGCAAGTGTCTTTGGGCCCACGGTAGCTTATTTCACAGTCCCACAAGCATTAGCCAATGAAATAATCGTAAAATGTTTGAATGAGAGCGCAGGTTAGTGTTCACTCAAGCATCAACAAAACCAGACTGGCTCACGGCGCCTGCGCGGGGACACGGACAGAGCCGGCTAGCGGACAGGTCCGGTACCCGGCGGTCCGAAAATAGGGGCGCGTTCGATGACAGAGACAAAGTTGATTCGAAAAAAGGGTTCTATTTTTGAAGCCTTCGATACGTGATACATTCGAAATTTGAGGTTCAACTGTATAATACAGTGGACCCCCGCATACCGTTGGCATCACATACCGTTTATTCCGCATACCGCTCACTTTAATCGCAAAAATTTTGCCTCGCATACCGCTCAAAAACCCGCTCACCGCTGTTCGTCCAAGACGCGTCCAATGTGCGCCTTAGCCAGCCTCACATGTTCCGCCGGTGGCATTGTTTACCAGCCAGCCTCCGCGGTAGCATCCAAGCATACAATCGTAACATTTCGTATTATTAAAGTCTTTTTGGTGATTTTATCTGGAAAATAAGTGACCATGGGCTCCAAGAAAGCTTCTAGTGCCAACCCTACAGCAATAAGGGTGAGAATTACTATAGAGATGAAGAAAAAGATCATTGATAAGTATGAAAGTGGAGTGCGTGTCTCCGAGCTGGCCAGGTTGTATAATGAACCCCAATCAACCATCGCTAATATTGGTGGTACAGCTGCTGCTGCTGCACTGTCAGCTGCTGCTGCTGCTGTAGCATCGTCTGCTGCTGCTGTAGCATCGTCTGCTGCTGCTGCTGCTGTAGCATCGTCTGCTGCTGCTGTAGCACCGTCTGCTGCTGCTGTAGCATCGTCTGCTGCTGCTGTAGCACTGTTGTTGGTGTGGCTTATTGAGAATATACCAAGAAACAATTAACCCCAGAGGATTTTCCACCCAGGATAACCCAAAAAAGTCAGTGTCATCGAAGACTGTCTAACTTATTTCCATTGGGGTCCTTAATCTTGTCTCCCAGGATGCAATCCACACCAGTCGACTAACACCCAGGTGAACAGGGAAAAATGCCTGGAACTAGTGCTCATATTGGTGAATTTAAAGCCAGCAAAGGTTGGTTTGAGAGATTTAAGAATCATAGTGACATACACAGTGTGATAAGGCCTGTTCTGGAAGAAAATGCCAAACAGGACCTACAGTACTCAGGAGGAAAAGGCACTCCCAGGACACAGTGTCTCATCAGTCATTGCTGCATCTTCAATAAAGGTAAGTGTCATTTATTCTTCATTTAGTAGACTAGTACATGCACAATATATACTGTGCATGTACTACTCTACTATTGTGCATGTATCCTTCTCTTTGTGTGTAGGAAAATGTATATTTCATGTGGTAAAAATTTTTTTTTCATACTTTTGGGTGTCTTGCACGGATTAATTTGATTTCCATTATTTCTTATGGGGAAAATTCATTCGCATACCAATGAGCCCTCTTGCATGGATTAAAATCGGTATGTGGGGGTCCACTGTAATAATTTCTCTGGGTACGTACTTTAAATGTTGTATATTATATTATTATTAACATTTTCATTAATCCATCTATGACTTTTTTCAAAATTATATAAGAAACATGCTACATATCATATAAACGAAATACACCCCCCCCCACTCATCACCCCCACTCACACCCCACTCACACCCCCACTCACACCCCCCACTCACACACCCCACTCACCCCCTCACACCCCCCACTCACACCCCCCACTCACACCCCCTACTCACACCCCCTACTCACACCCCCTACTCACACCCCCTACTCACACCCCCTACTCACACCCCCACTCACACCCCCCACTCACACCCCCCACTCACACCCCCACTCACACCCCCCACTCACACCCCCCACTCACACCCCCCCACTCTCACACCCCCCACTCTACACACCCCCACTCTCACACCCCCCACTCTCACACCCCCCAACTCTCCACACACCCCACTCTCACACCCCCCACTCTCACACACCCCACTCTCACACCCCCCACTCTCACACACCCCCACACTCACACACCCCCACTCTCACACACCCCCACTCACACACCCCCACTCCACACACCCCACTCACACCCCCCACTCACACCCCACCTCACCCCCACCCCCCCCCACTCACCCCCCCCCCCACTCACACACCCCCTCACACCCCCACTCACCCCCCCTCACCCCCACTCCCCCCCACTACCCCCCACTCACACACCCCCCCACTCCACACCCCCACTCACACCCCCCACTCACACCCCCCACTCACACCCCCCACCCCCCCCCCCCCCACCCCCACCCCCCCCCACTCACCCCCCCCCCCCCCCCCCACTCACACCCCCACTCACACCCCCACTCACACCCCCACTCACACACCCCCACTCACACACCCCCACTCACACACACTCTCACTCACTAAAACAAATTAATATTATTGTGAGATGGTAGCTGGGCGGGCATAACGGAGTGTATGACAGTAATTACTATAACATGTACCTTCTTGTAAGACGTTATGTAGTCTTGACCCTAGAATGTTGATGCCCATGGCAATCCTGCTTTTTGCTGGGTTTATTCTGCATTGTCTAGGGGTATTTATTTCTCACTACAGATTTGGTTGCAGTCCCATAAGTACCTTCCATGTATATCTTGTATCTTTCCACTACTCTTTAGGACGTTGAGGCATTATTATCTTGACTGTCAAGACATTTGTCTTATTTTTTTTTTATAAGAACCTTCATGTGTTCCCTTAGTCCTGTTTAGTGATCCATTTGTGTTTTGTATATAGTATCACTTCTGAGTTCTTCGTTCTTTCTACATTCAGTTTCCTGATGTGTACTTCTACGCTTGTTATGACATTGTTTCTGATATCTGCTGGTAGTAGGCAGAATAGTCTTGTTCCATGGATGTTGAGTGTTCTCTTATTGTACCCATGGCACTATTGCTTTTCACTGAATCTATTTTATACTACTTCCCATATCTCTCACTGCAGCACATTATGGTAGTATAGATCCAAGATTAAACTTTCAAGTAACTTCTGTGTATATATACATATATTATCAGAAATCCTCTTTGATACAAACTACATTCTTAGTATTTTGAGGCATCATTAGTTTAAATGCTTTACTAGCTCTATGTAGTCAGTAAATGATAGTTTTTCTGTTGTCATTTTGTTAATATTCATACAAAAGGTCATCCCCCAACCCTGTGTGGATGGATATAGGTATTGTTAGTTTTCTGTTGCATCAATTTTTTTTTTTTTTTTTTAATTTATGTTAAGCGCTAAATCCATGGGGATCATTCAGCGCATGACATGGAGGCTTGATCCTCCGTCTGCTGAGCGCCAGACAGACGTGCTTCAAACTATTAAAGTATTAGTGTACTGCATTTGTATATGCTTGTTTAAGAATTTTTATATTCATACCTGTAAGGCCACAATTGAATATGAATGGGTATAAAAACAGTGAGTGTATATCTATATAAGGAGATTTGTTGATGGATGGTTATCTGTGGAAATTTGTAAAAGGCAATTGTTTTCATGTGTTTAATTACTTTTTCAGCCACCAATCAATGGTTTGTGCCACCTGTGAAGGGAGATGTACCACCAGGATGTGCTGCCTATGGCTTTGTCGTGGATGGAACTCGCATTCTTGTCTTTGGTGGAATGGTCGAATATGGCAAATACAGGTATATTAAGATTTACAGGCTACTTGGAGGTCAGTTATTAGGTATTAAAGTATAAATATGCAGTAGTCTATAAAAGTACAATCCATCTCCACTGATTGTTTTGTTAGAACTTTTACCCATGACTAATTATGCATAAATTTAATTCATAAATAACTGCAGTACAGGCTTTCCTTGCTGTGTGTTTGCTCTACACTAATTCGTTATTGTGTGGTGTGCCAGTTCTATTGATGATCTCATAGTTGCGATATACATACACATACAGTATTGAGAGAAAGTATTAAAGCCTTGGACCTTTTCTGCTCACTATTTTATGTCTACTTATTGCAATCATTCTCCTGAAGGGTGATTTGCAGTCTTCTTCATTTTCTACTTTTGTATGATATGTTATTAGATTGTGAAAATTTGGAACCAGCCCCTTAAATATTTTCCAGGTAAAATTTAAAATATTGTACTACATCTCTATCTCACTTACTTTCCAAGGAGTACAGTTTGAGGGATATTTGGCATTCCAATATAATTGTTTTAAATTGATGGGGACTGTGTTTTCTCAGCATATTTTCCAGATATGCCATTTTTGTCTTCCTTAATTGGAGTTACTTGTGCACAACAGTATTGTAGTTCAGAGTACAGAGAACTTGGAATATCATCAATAGCTTAGCATCTCTTCTTTTGAAGGTTATTGTTGCCACTTTTTTATCCTGAGTACCCTTGCAGTAGTAACATTTATGCCTCTTGAACATCAATTTTTTTTTTTTACCTGAAGTCCTTTACATTTCCTTTATTTTCAGTAACTATTCCATTTTGTATTTTAATTTTGCAGTCTTTGTAACAATCCATAGTGTAGTAGCTACATTACTTGGTTACTGTCAGGTTGGAGACTTGCTGTTCTCTCAAGAGTTATCACCTTGATACATATTTTAGCATTATCATTGGATGATACATTACTCTTAAGTTGGGGGAAAAGAGATTTTTTTGTTTCTTGAAATTAATGTACAGTATCTGATTCAATTTTGTTGGCACATGTTTGGTGAATGAATAATAATGTTAACCTACTTTACCACCATTTTTCTACAGCAATGAATTGTATGAGCTACAGGCCTCGAGGTGGGAATGGAAACGTGTGAAGCCCCGACCTCCACGCAATGGCCCACCCCCATGCCCCAGATTGGGCCACTCGTTTACTCTTATTGGCAATAAAGTCTACCTCTTTGGTGGATTAGCCAATGATAGTGAAGACCCAAAAAATAATATTCCAAAGTAAGCACAATATGTTAGCATCTTTAAGCTGAAATGGTCAAACCAAGGCTGATTCAAATGTGTTCCTATGATAGAGTATAATTCATCTTGCCTATAAATGACTGATAGACAGGTTTGACTCTCGTGATAATTTTTGTAGCTGATTATACCATAGTGGACCTATGAACTTTACACACAAATCGTTATCAAGGCGATGGCACAAAATTATCACTTCACTTTCTCATTTATGTAGTGTAATTTTCTCACTTTATTATCAGTCACTAACTTATTCAGTATTTGTATAAATTCACTGTTAAAATGAAAATTATTGGGTGTTAGCTTTTGTGTATACCACCTTTTGGGTATTTTTCCCTAAAATTACTCTCTGCTAAATAACACATACAACATGCTTGTACAAAATGTCAATGTTTCAACTGTGTTATGGTGTTATGTCATTGTTAATAGATCACGAGTTAATTAATGGTCTATTGTATGTGTGTAGATGTATATGTATACTGTGTGTGTGTGTAAACAAAGTAACATTTTCCTTATATATATGTCAGTATCATAATTTTTTTTTTTTTGGCAATTGCAGATACCTGAATGATCTTTACACATTGGAACTACGGGCAAACTCTAATGTTATGTCATGGGACATACCAGACACTTATGGTGTACCACCACCTCCAAGAGAATCCCATACAGGAGTTGCATACACAAGCAAAGATAAACCTAAATTGGTTATTTATGGTGGGATGAGTGGTACTAGATTGGGAGATCTCTGGATTTTGGATATCAGTAAGTTCCTTGATTTTTTTTTTTTTTTTCCACTTTTTCTTAACCCTCTCAGTGTCGGTCCCATAATATTACAGCTTTGAAACCAGTGTCAGTCCTGTAATACTACACCAAAATTCTAGAGGCTTCAAATTTTGCGGGAGAAAGCTGGTAGGCCTACATGTGAGAGAATGGGTCTGGTTGGTCAGTGTGTGCAGTATAAAAAAAAAAAAACATGCAGCAAGCAGTGCATGAGAGAAAATGGCTACCGTGTGGTGTATTTTCATATGGTATTTATGGCTGTATTCTCTTTTTCTTGGTCTCGTTTGATAGAATGGAAGATATTTATTTTATTTATTACAGAAATAGCGATGATTTTGAATGGTTTACAGAATAAAAGTAGCTAGAAAATGAGCTCAAAGTAGTGGAAAAGTTCGATTTTTGCCGATGTTCAAGAGTAAACAAATCATGTCACCCGTCCAATAAATGTCAACTGGTGGGTCTAATATGCATTCACAAATGTGCTGATATTATTTATACAATTACAGTGGTGCCTCGAGTTTCAGCCATAATTCATTCCAGAAGGCTATTCGAGTGTCGTTACTGAATGAATTTGTTTCCATAAGGAATAATGTAAATTAGATTAGTCCGTTTCAGATCCCCAAAAATACACTTACAAAAGCACTTGCAAAAATACACTTACATAATTGTTTGAGTTGGGAGCTGTTTGAAACTTGAGGTACCACTGTATTACAATTATGCAGTAGTCTGAATAACTAATCTTCTATTTTTTGTGTGAATAAGTCAAAATGAAAAGCAAGCGTAATATAAGAGGGGCCTAGAGACGTGACTAATGAACAGAGAAAATGTTATTTTAATACCAGGACTGTCTACATTATTTATTCTGGACCCTATTTTGAAATTGGCCTCTCTTCAATTTTGTGTGAAATTGATCAAATTAGTAAGTTCTGATCACTTTATTGGATAGTTGAAATAGGTAAATGGGCGGTTTCTTGTACTCATTCGATAGAAATAAAGGAATTCTAGTGAAATAGCTATGAGTTTGGTTAACTGGAACAATGGAATTGGCCCAAAATAGAGCTAAAAGGGGGTGAAATCTCCGATGTGTAAATATCGCCGAGACCCCTAACTTTGCGAGAGCCCTAATTCCGTAAGTTTTCTATCAAATTTTGTGCTTTTAGTTTCATTGTGTTCAGAAAAAGATTATCATTTTGTAAGAATTTTTTTTTTCTTAAATTCTTTGACCCTATGAGCAAGTTTGTGAGCAGGGGTTGCAACACTGAAAGGGTTATGAGCTCTGTCCAATTATTTTCAGGGAAATCTGACGATTGTAATTTTATTAGTAGTCATTTTGCATATTGCAAAACGGTAACAGTATATATAGTAAAAAGGAATCCCGTTCTTTCCTGAGAATAATGGCATGCATTTAATTTTGCCTGGTTATTATTAGAAACATGCATATTATAGTATATGCATGTGGCTGTCTCAAATACAACAATTCAGAGGTCCCTCCAAACAACAAAATATTCCAGACCCCTCCTTTAGAGTGCAGACACTGTACTTCCCAGTGACACTGTTGTTTTAGAGAATTTGAAGACAAGGTTGGTATACAAATTTGGGAGGGTATGTAAGAGTTGGAAATTAAAAGAACATAGAGAAGAGCAAGGCGGTGGGAGTTGTAAAAACATCTAGCAGTGATAGGTTGAAGATATTTTTTATTTTTTATTTTTTTATTATCACACCGGCCGATTCCCACCAAGGCAGGGTGGCCCGAAAAAGAAAAACTTTCACCATCATTCACTCCATCACTGTCTTGCCAGAAGGGTGCTTTACACTACAGTTTTTAAACTGCAACATTAACACCCCTCCTTCAGAGTGCAGGCACTGTACTTCCCATCTCCAGGACTCAAGTCCGGCCTGCCGGTTTCCCTGAATCCCTTCATAAATGTTACTTTGCTCACACTCCAACAGCACGTCAAGTTTAAAAACCATTTTCCCCATTCATCCTATCAAACACGCTCACGCTGCCTGGGGAACCCAAAGCCCTCGCACACAAAAACCTCCTTTCCCCTCCCTCCAACCCTTCCTGGGACCCCTCCCGCCTTCCTTCACTACAGACGATACCTTTGAAGTCATTTGTTTCGCTCCTTCTCTTACATGTCCAACCACCTCAAAAACCCCTTCCCAGCCCTTGGACAACAGTTTTGGAAATCCCGCCCCCCTTTTCCCCTAACTTCAAACTCGAATTCTCTGCATTATATTCACCCCCAAAATTGCCTCAGAATGACATCTCCATGCCCCCACCCTTCTCCTCGCTCAACTTCATACCCACGTTCACACCCATAAAGAGCTTTGGTTTTAAAACTTATCTCATACACCCCCCTTTTCCCTCCAAGGAAAAAGTTTTTTGTTCCACGACTCCTAAGTGCACCACTCACTTTTTTCCCCTCATCAATTCTTATTCACCCATCTTTCATAGCCCCACCCGTTACACGTCCACCCCAAATATCTAAAATACGTTCACCCCTCCATACTCTCTCCCCAAATTTGATTTCAATTTTTTCATCACCTAATCTTTTTGTTATCCTCAAAACCCTTTTACTTTTTCCCTGATTCCCCCTTTAATTTTCTTTTTTTGCCCCCCTCCCAAATTCATCCACCAATCTCTGCAACTTCCTTCAGAATCTCCAAGAGCACAGTGTCATCGGAAAGAGGCTGGAAATCCCACTTTGTGTTGATTTTTTATCTTTTAACTCCCGCCTTGCCAAAACCCTCGATTTACTTTCTTACAACCCCATCTTAAAATATTAAACAACCACGGTGACATCAACCCCTCCTTGTCTAAGGCCCACTTTTACTGGGAAAAAATTTCCCTCTTTCCTACATACTCTAACTTGAGCCTCACTATCCTCGTAAAAACTCTTCACTGCTTTCAGTAACCTACCTCCTACACCATACACTTGCAACATCTGCCACATTGCCCCCCTATCCACCCTGTCATACGCCTTTTCCAAATCCATAAATGCCACAAAGACCTCTTTAGCCTTATCTAAATACTGTTCACTTATATGTTTCACTGTAAACACCTGGTCCACACACCCCCTACCTTTCCTAAAGCCTCCTTGTTCATCTGCTATCCTATTTTCCGTCTTACTCTTAATTCTTTCAATTATAACTCTACCATACACTTTACCAGGTACACTCAACAGACTTATCCCCCTATAATTTTTGCACTCTCTTTTATCCCCTTTGCCTTTATACAAAGGAACTATGCATGCTCTCTGCCAATCCCTAGGTACCTTACCCTCTTCCATACATTTATTAAATAATTGCACCAACCACTCCAAAACTATATCCCCACCTGCTTTTAACATTTCTATCTTTATCCCATCAATCCCGGCTGCCTTACCCCCTTTCATTTTACCTACTGCCTCACGAACTTCCCCCACACTCACAACTGGCTCTTCCTCACTCCTACAAGATGTTATTCCTCCTTGCCCTATACACGAAATCACAGCTTCCCTATCTTCATCAACATTTAACAATTCCTCAAAATATTCCTTCCATCTTCCCAATACCTCTACCTCTCCATTTGAAGAATAGTCACATTATAGCTAGAATAGTACACAAATAACCCACACTTGAGAGGGTGGAACTTATGACAAGGTTTCAGTCCTACGTGTACTGTTTGAAAAGTGTCATTGTGGTTTGAAAAGTGTCATTGTGGTGCAGACTTCTCACATTTTTGGTCTGAGAGAGAGAGACCACCATCTGTACAGTTACACACAGTGAGAGGAAAATAAGAGTTTGTGTAATGAGCACAGTGAAAAGAGGTCAGTGCAGCTAAATAAGACAAATTTTTAACACATCGACCGTTGCCCTCCGAGGCAGGGTGACCCAAAAAGAAAGAAAGAAAAAATTTCATCATTCAAAACTCGCCATCACTCATACATAATCACTGTCTTTGCAGAGGCACTCAGATATGACAATTTAGATGTCCCTCCAAACTGCCAGTATCCCAGACCCCTCCTAAAGTGCAGCAATGGTACTTCCTATTTCCAGGACTCGGGTCTGGCTAACCAGTTTCCCTGAATCCCTTCACAAAGTATCATCCTGTTCACACTCCAACAGCTCATCAGGTTCCCAAAACTACTTGCCTCCATTCACCTATCTAACATGCTCATGGACGCTTACTGGAAAGTCCAAGCCCCTCTCCCACAAAACCTCCTTTACCCCTTCTCTCCAACCTTTTTGAGGATGACCCGTACCCCTCCTTCCTTCCCCTACAGATTTATAAGTTCTCCAAGTCATTCTACTTTGTTCCATTCTCTCTAAATGACCAAACCATCTCAACAACCCCTCTTCAGCCCTCTGACTAATACTTTTAGTAACTCCACACCACCACCTAATTTCCACACTAAGAATTCTTTGCATATTATTTACACCACACATTGCCCTTAGACACGACATCTCCACTGCCTCCAGCCGCCTCCTCGCCACAGCATTTACAACCCATGCTTCACACCCATATAAGAGTATTAGTACCACTATACTCTCATGTATTCCCTCCTTTGCCTCCATGGATAACGTTTTTTTTTTTTGTCTGCACAGAAACCTCAACACACCACTCATCTTTTACATTGTCTGAAAATGAATGAAAAGAAAAAGTTACATAAACCATTCTTCTGGACTAAATTATCTTTAACACTTTTTCCAGGTACAAGATTATAGGGTAATTTTAAATTTACCCTAGTTAATTTGATAGGTTAGCTATTACTGCATACTATACATCTGTATTGTCTCTTCCCTACAACCTGTGATTTGGGATAAAGCACAAATTGTAAGGCATTATTCTTTTGCCAATAAGGGATTTACTTATGTATGCACTTCTGAATATACAGTAATTATGTTTCAGATACTATGAATTGGGAGCGTCCAACTGTTAGTGGAGTACATCCTCTTCCTCGTTCACTTCATTCTGCCACTTTGCTGGGAAACAAGATGTTTGTGTTTGGAGGTTGGGTACCTCTAGTGTTAGAAGAGCTCAAGGGCCCCAACAATGAGAAGTCGGAGTGGAAGTGCACAAATACCCTTGCATGTCTAAACCTTGGTAAGTTTAATATATTTTGGTTAGCCAAAAACAATGTATTGTGTGTTTATAGTACACCTTTTCAGTCACATACGAAAACTTTTTTCACGTTGAAAGGGTTTAACGTTACCATCATAGCACTACTCTAGTGCTCTTGATCAGCGAATTATATTGCATTGTCATAGTCATTGTTCCTTAGTTTATTTCCACGTATAAATACCTGTGACTGATTTTGAGAGTATGTTCTACTTAGGGAGCACTAGTTATTAACCTTTTCAGTGTCGCGACCCCTGCTTGCAAACTTGTTCTCAGGGTTCAAGAATTTAAAAAAAGAAATCTTATGAAATGATAGAGAATCTTTTTCCGAAGGTAATGAAACCAAAAGTACAAAATTTGATGGAAAACTTATAGAATTGCGCTCTTGCAAAGTTAGCGGCTCGATGATATTTACACATTGGCGATTTTGCCCACTTTTGGGCTCAAAGTGGACCCATAGCTACTTCACTAGTACTCCTTTTATTCTATTGAGTACAAGAAACTTCCCATTTACCTATTTCAACTACCTAAGAAAATGATCAGAAATTGGTGATTTAGCCAATTTTACTCAAAATTCAAGAAAGGCCAATTTCAAAATAGGGTTCAGAATAAATAATAGACACTCCTGGCACTTTTTCTGTTAATTTGTCACATCTCCAGGTCCCTCTTATAATATGCTTGCTTTCCATTTTTAACCCTTAAACTGTCCAAACGTAGATCTACGTTTTTTCAACATTTGAAAGTATGTAAAAAAACGTAGAGCTTCTTTTTTTTTTTTTTTTTTTTTTTACATTTGAAAACTTGTAAAAAACTTTGATCTACGATTTTTTTATATTTTAAAATATGTAAAAAACCGTAATCTACTTTTGGAGCACTACGCATGTGAACGTAGATCTGTTTGGAGAGTTTAAGGGTTAATTTTTATTCACACAAAATATAGATTTACTGTTGTGCAGACAGCTGCAATATTGTAGTAATTGTATAAATAATATCAGCGCATTCATGAACGCATATTAGACCCACCAGTTGACGTGTATTGAACTTGTGATTTGATTTGTTTACTCTTGAACATTGGCAAAAATCGAACATTTCTGCTAATTTGAGCTCAGTTTGAAGCTACTTTCAGTCCCGAAACCATATCTAGGCCCAAATTTGCTGCTCACGGCTTATCTGGGTGAGCTGAGCTCATGGCATCACATTATGGGACTGACACTGGCGTCAAAGCCGTGATATAACAGGACCGACGCCGAAAGGGTTAAATGGCAACTATCCAAGGAGTACTACTCTCCTCCTTTAGGTGTTACACAGTAGAAGCCTATTAAGCGTTTTGCATAACTGAGACGCTTGCTAGTTTTTTCTTGGTCTAGTGAACATTACTGTAGCAATTAAATCTTAATTTCAACCTAAATTCATTAATTCGTTGTCCAGCAAGACGTTGGTAATCGTTGTTTAATCTCGTGACCTGCATTTACACAAAAGAACAATTGACAGGTTCCTGAGAGTTCAAACCATAGTTCAGGGCAACTGTAACTTAGAATATATTTTCATACTATGCATAGTAAGGTATAAATGTTAATACTACTGTATACATGTATATTTCAGTTATATTTGGAGAAAATGGTATTGGTAATTGGAGCATTGTGGCATTTATAAAGGAAGTCAGGGAAAATGATTAGGCAGATTTAATCCTGGAGATGAGAAGCACAGTTCATGCACTAAAGAAGAAATAAACATTCAGACGGTCATTGAAAAACATCTATGTTAGTCTGTAGGTCAGCCATCATGTGGTATATGTACAGTTGAGCTATTTAAAATGTAAGCCATTGCCATCAGAACTTCAGAAATGCCAGGCTTGTCATTAGAGACTCAGACCTACATTGTAGAAGCTGTTTCAAATCTGCTCCCATCACTACACCATCACCACCACTCAAAACCCAAGCAGTTTTATGATCTCAGAAGTACTTGCCAAACACATTCTACTTAAGATGAAGACAGCCATCACCTAGCTCTGCCCTGTAGCCCATGCAGCACCTGACCTGACTCGCCATACATACTGTATTCTGTTTTCTATTGTTTGTATAGGATTGATAAAGCCCCCAGTGGGTGAAGCATCTCTTAGTTACCACATGTCTCTTGTATGTCTGTTAATCACTATTTAAAACCTCAGCTGCTTACCTGGTTTGTTACATAAATGTGTCCTTGGTTAGAGAGGTCTGGTTCTTTGCCTCTCCTTGGGTATTGTTGTTAATGGATTGAACCCCCAAGTTCCTAGCTTTGATAGTGATCTTGACTGATTTCTTGGCTTTGATTCATGCTCAGAGGATCAACGTCTCTACTGACTCAAGAGCAGTTGTGGGTTGGCTTTCTGTCAGTATCTGGTGAGGTCCTATATTGTGCCCAGTTGTCAAGTGAATCCTCAGTGGTCACTGCAGAGATGTTGTCTATACTTGCTACTCTTTCCTGGTTGTTGGCTTTGAGGGGTTTGGGTTCACACTACTTGGACAAGTACACTGTTTTGTTGGCCTTGGCATAGAATGCACCTTTTTACCATTTGATCTTGAAGCTTCTGGAGTAATTAGCCTGTATCCATGCATGGCACAAGGCCTTAAGAGTTCTGTCGTTCTTGGGTATATGTCGAGGTCTGTAGTAGGCTTCATAGTGGACTTTGCTAGACTGATCTCATGGAATAAATATATTGGTGTGCCTTGAAAGTGGGCCATGCAGACTAGCAATAAGCCTCAGTTAGCAATGTACATTACACTGCTTAACTAAGAATATCGTACATTATGAAGGCATATGCTCTGCACCCCCATTTTCCCCTTCCTCACTGCACCTTACATTGTTGCTCTTGTGTATCCTTAGTAGCAAATACCACATTTTGATAATTGGGAGAGAGCAGAATTGCAAGCAGTGTTCATTGGTGTGGGGAAGTTGGCCATACTTGAGCACATGCCACCTAACACTCAGCTGGAGGCATACTACAAAATTTTTAGAAGTGTTGCTATACTACTACAGTGCTCGTCACGGCATTATACCACCCCTCCCCCACACATGTACCAAAACACAAACTCATACCATGAAAGATTGTAATATATATATTTGCACAGTTACTGAGGTTTTAATACTTAGTGCTGCATCCTTCACACTTAATTACATCCCTCAGCCATGTAGGAAGACTCTCACACACATTCTTGAGGGTTTGGGGAGGTATATTATTCCAGAGCAGCCTCCATCCACGGGATAGAACTGATATCCTTGCCCAGTAAACTTTATTTCACTATTGACCAGAGGTTCTCAATAGGGTTTAGGTCTGGGGAATTGCCTGGCCAGTCATTAAAGAACCTCACTTCACAGTCCTTAAGCCACTGATCTACAGATTTGGCGATATGACACGGTGCAGCGACCTGCATAAAAACCGTAACCCCACACTTGTCAAACGCCTAAGGTAGATTGTCACACAATAACTCCAGGTAATGATACTGGCTCATATACTGGTTTTTGGGAAGCACAGTGAGTTCACCAACACTGAGCACTGAAACACCCCCAAACCATGAGCGAGTCTGGGTGTTTGGTGGTCCCACAGGTGTAGCATGGGTCTAGCGGGTCACTACCTCTGGGCCGGTACACATGTCCCTCACGGTTACAGGTGACGGTGAAGGTTGCTTCGTCACTCCAAAGTACTTCAGACCATTGTTGAAGATTCCAGTGAAGATATTTCTTTGCATAATCCAGCCTACGTTTCTTCTGTAGCTTGGAGAGAATCAGTTTCTTAACCTGGTGGTGACTTCTGTAGCCCAGTTCTGACACATGTCTGCTAACAGTTCTTACAGACATCTCTGAGAGAAGATGTGGGTTCTTTTCTTTCGGTTATCTTTGGTGTACTCCCTAACTGCTTCTTTAATACAGTTAAGGTATGAACAGGTGTCTTCTTCGAGGGACCAGGCTGAAGTTTGGCAGACGGTAACTCGACACTGTCACCAGCCTTGAAACGCTGCACCCAGTTCCCCACTGAATGTTCACACACACACACCAACATTCTCCACTACAGTGGACCCTTGAATTTCATCCCTTTTCTGAATGTATTTTTTGTTATTTCTTATGGGAAATATTAAAAAATACATTTTATAGAGAATAACTGTAGTTTTACATACAGAAAAGGGATGATGAAATTTGAGGGTCCAATGTATTTCTTTTGTCTGGTGCCCAGCTTTGTGAAGCCCTATGATTAAAGCTATAGTTTCAGGTGTTAGACTTCTTTTTACCCATAATCAAACATGTATAACCCCAAAACCAAAGGGAACACTGGACAAAAGATGGGGTGGATGAGATACAAAAGTGCAACACTCCCTCTCACCACGGCAGCCACGTGAGCACTGAGGAGTCCTGTTAAGTGTGGCGGAAGGCTTTGACATCATGCTAATAGCTGCTACCTGTCATAATGCACTGACAAAAAAAGACCCCCCTTTATGGTAGGCCTTTGATTTTCGTCATGGCATTATGCAAGGGCGCTCGCCCATCTTAATGCAATGACGAGCACTGTAGTTCTTAGTAAAAGTAGGTATTAGTTGCTGGTAGTGTATTATCATTGTGCTGTCTAGCAGGTTGTAATTCTTTTGTTACTGTTTACAATACTCCTCTGCGGTTTCATCATTTTTGACTAAAAGGTTATATGAATTTTATAGCTGAGGTGTTTATAGGTGTATGTAAAGCAGGATCTTAACCGGCATTGATAGCCTATGAATGAGAAGTTGAATCAACCTCTCACTGGAACCATTAACAGGAACTGCCTTTCACTCATTCTTTGAATTTATAAATTTGGTAAAATTCTAGTTTGAAGTTTAGTGTACTGCAATATACCCTTAAATGATGTATAACTAGCTGTATCTGCAGTTAAGGATTTACCACGATCTTATTTCTACTATGCATAGCTTTGAAGTTTCACAATCCTGCCATTGCTCACTTTTATGTCAGCTACTCCAAAACCT